ATTTATTAATATTTTGATAATTAATAAGTAAAAGATTTAAAAAATAAATATGTTTACCGAATAAGTTCAAATAGTATGAATTATTTGAATAATTATCTATTTCAAATAATTATGACATTTTCCTTTTGTAATAAAACAATTGTTTTACTTTATATAAGCATATTTGAAGTTAAATAATATTAATTTATTAATATTACAAAAGTTAATGAGTAAGAAAATTAAAAAATATACGTTTACCAATTTAATTAAAATAGTTATAACTATTTAAACAATTATCTATTTCAAAATATTATAATATTTTGTTTTGTCATAAAACAATTGGTTCTATGCATCAAAGCTTATTTCGAATAAAATAATATAAATTTTTAATACTTCAAAAATTAATAAGTAAAATTTAAAAAAAATTCAGTTTTCTTAAAACATTGAAGTAGTTATGACTATTTGAACAATTATCTATTTCAAATTGTTATTACCTTTTGTTTGTCATAAACTAATTGTTTCTATTTATACTAGCTTATTCAGAATAAAATAATATTAATTTATTAAAATTTCAAAACTAAATAAGTAAAAAATTTAAAAAATAAATCTTTTTACCGAGTAAGTTCAAATAGTTATGACTATTTAAACAATTATTTATTTCAAATCGTTATGACTTTTTGCTTTGTCATAAAATAATTATTTCTATTCATACAAGTTTATTCGAAAAAAATAATACTAATTTATTAATATTATAAAATTAATGAGCTCGAGATTTAAAAAATAAATTTGTTTACTGAACAAATTCAAATAGTCATGTCCATTTAAACTATTATCTATTTCCAATCATTATAACATTTTGTTTTCTCATGAAATAATTGTTTTTATTCATACAAATTTATTCAGAATAAAATAATATTAATTTATTAATATTTCACAAATTAATAAGAGATTTAAAAAGTAAATTTATTTATCGAACCATTTTAAATAATTATGATTAATTAAATAATTATCTATCTCAAATTGCTACAATCTTTGTTTTGTCATAAAATAATTGTTTTATTCATACAAGCTTATTCAGAGTAAAATATTGTTAAACTAATAATATTCTAAATATTGATAAGTAGGAGATTTAAAAAATAAATATGATTCCTGAACCAGTCAAAATAGTTAAGACTATTAAAATAATTATCTATTTCAAATCGTTCTGATATTTTATTTAGTTATAAAATAATTATTTCAGTTTTTACATGCTTATTCAAAATAAAATAATACTATTTTATTTACATTCAAAAAATCAGTAAGTAAGAAACTAAAAAAATAAATCCATTTCCTAAATAAATTCAAACAATTATAACTATTTAAACAATTATCAGTTTCAAATCATTATGACATTCTATTTTATAATAAAACAATTGTTTTAGTTCTTAAAAGCTTATCCAAAATAAAATAATATTACTTTATTAATATTTCAAAAATTGAGAAATTAGAGATTTCAAAAATAAAATTATTTTTTTATCATATAAGCCTATTCGAAATAAAATAATACTATTTATTAATATTTTAAAAATTAATAAGTAAAAGATTTAAAAAATAAATATGTTTACTTAACATGTTCAAATAGTTAAGACTATCTGAATAATCATATATTTCAAATTTTTATAACTTTTTTGTTTTGTCATAAAACAATTATTTATATTCATACATGCTTATTTAGAATAAAATAATACTAATATAATAATATTATGAAAATTAATAACTAAGAGATTTAAAAAGTAAATTTGTTTGCCACCCAAATTCCAATAGTTAAGGCTATATGAATAATTATTTATTTTAAATTGTTATGACCTTTTGTTTTCTCGCAAAACAAATATTTTTGTTCATATAAATTTATTCGAAATAAAATAATATTAATTTATTAATATTTTAAAAATTAATAAGAGATTTAAAAAATAAATCTATTAACCAAATCAATTCAATTAGTTATAACAATTTGAACAATTATTTATTTCAAATCGTTATGATAATTTGTTTTGTCATAAAATAATTGTTTCTATTAGTACACTTTTATTCATAATAAAGTATTGCTAATTTATTAATATTCTGAAAATTAATAAGTAATTAATTTTTAAAAAAAAATCTATTGGCTTGACCAATGCAAATACTTATGACTGTTTAAACAATTATCTACTTCAAATTACTATGACCTTTTATTTTGTCAGAAAATAATTATTTTTGTTTGTACAAGCTTATTTGAAATAACATAATTTTAATTTATTAATATTTCAAAAAATAATAACAAATTAATAAACTAAATCTATACATTGAACCAGATCAAATAGTTATAACTATTTAAACCATTACCTATTTCAAATTGCTATAACCTATCGCTTTGTCATAAAATAATTTTTCTATTCATATCAACTTATTTCAATTAAAATAATATATATTTATTAATATTTAGACAATAAATAAGTAAAAGATTTAAAAAATAAATTTATTTACCGAATAAGTTCATTTTGTTTATTCATATAACAATTGTTTCAGTTCATACAAGCTTATTCGAAATAAATTAATACTAATTTCTTAACATTCAAAAAATTAATAAGAAAGAATTAAAAAAAAACTGTTTACTGAATAAGTTTAAATAATTATTATTACTTGGACAATTGCATATTTAAATCATTATAACTTTTTGATTTATCATAAAATAATTATTTCAATTAATACAAGCTTAGACTTATTTAAATTAAAATAATCTTTATATATTTATATTAAATTAAAATAAATATAAAAAATATGTTAAACATGTTAATATATGAAATGTATATTTATATGATAAAATAAAATAAAATATATTATTCGTATTATGTCATATATTTAAATTAATTAACACTTATATGATATAAATTATATCATATTAAAATTTATATCAATATAAATAAATATAAAATATATTTTTTAAAATATATATAATTTTTTATATCATTTTCATATCATATCTAAAATCTGAAATTGAGACAATCTTAAAAAGTTATCAAATCAAGCTTTGAAAAAAGAAAAATAGTATAATACACTTTGTTCAACTGGTAAAAAAGATCACAAAAAAACTTTCTTACACGTGGTAATTTCACCTTCAGATGTGACACCACTAACTTTGCTTTCATCATCAAACTCCGACGCAAATATAAGGTAGAGTATAAAAACTTGAACTAGTAATAACATGGAGGAAGAGAGATTAGATGTTTGGATTTTTTTGATTTTTTCTTTCATATTAGTTTTTTATTAGGTTTTTTAAGTTATTATTTTAAAGAAATTATAATCAATTATTAAGATATTTTAAATTAAAAGATATAATTTAAAACGGATTAAAATAATAAAACACGTGGCATATCATTTAATCTACATTGGCAGCCTTCAAATCTAATTCAATTAAAATTTATATCATTTTAATTGATAATTTATTTTAATTTAATAATTTTAATTCAATTATTTATTCCGTCCAATTTTTCATGACCTGGCGTTGAGAAGGAAGCCGTTGTTTTACTGGGCATGAAATTGCTTGAGACTGGAGTTAATTGGGATTTTGGCTTTATATTATTTTGCATGTGAGATTTTTGTTACACGGAAAAAGAGCCACCGATTTGTATATTTTCATACAAGTTTCTTTTTCATAAATTCTAAAATAAATTGATAGTTTCTAGCTTTTTTCTCTGGGTTCCGAATTTTTTTTTATTTTCTTTTGCATGTGTAGGTAATTATTTTTCTTTAGTATTTGAACAATATATCAATGAAAGTGGCGTGGAAGAGACGAGGGGATTTTGTTTGCAAAAAAAAGAAAAATAGTTGGTTAACTGTTAAGTGATGTGGCAGTAGTGTAAGAGAGGTAACGGTTGATTAACTGGTTAGATAGCAAGAGGGGAAGATTGGCTTTTTTGAAACTACAGGGGGATTAGTGTCTTTTTGGGATAATTATAGGGGGTTTATGTATTTCACCCTTACAAAGGCTTGTTAAATGATTAAATCTCGCTAGAGTGTAGTGAAAATCATTAATTCAAGAAAAATATATGTACATGCTTTATAAACACAGCATTCCTCTTGTTCATGCTTTGGTTGTATTCAGTTATGATGTGCTTAAAGGAACTACAACTCTACAAGAATGAAAGTAACCCAAAAGCCTTTGTTGAATCATATGTAGAGAAAGAAATGAAGTTGAAAAGCTAATGCAACAATAATTCCATAGATAATGTCAATCACAGGAAAAACGCATAAATCAGCGGGAATTGCCCCATAAGAAAGCCTCCTCCATAGCTCGTATAATTGAGATCAACTCTCCTGCAAACAGGTCAGTTGCAGGTACATTTGAGAAGTTGTTATTGCTTGTAGAAGATGCAGTCTGTCTAATGCGCTCGCTAAGAACAAATCTGCATACTGGACATTGGCCATGACTCTTCACCCATGGGAGGATACATTCCTCATGGAACATATGGTCACATGGAGTGAGCATTACCTGCTCTCTAGGTTCAAAATCTTCCAAACAAATTGCACACCTCTTGCCATCTTCATCTTTTTCCTTTTCCCTCTCATTATAGTTGCTTCGATTTTGGTCTCTATAATACAAACTCAATCTCCTTGTCATTTGCTTGGGGATAGGATTGTAGATTTCCTTCTTCAGCTTACTTAAAACATTCTTCTGCTCGTCTTGATTCGAGCTGAAATCGTCTTGTCGCGTAGGGGTAGTTGGCAGCTGGACATGTGGCTGGATTGTGAACCTTGGAAGGGGCCCTGAAAACCTGGGATTGACCGCCCTTGTGGGAACATTGTCGACTAATACAATTTGTACCGGAGTAGGAGCACGTTGATAATCGGGGGAACTACAGTATTTTGTTTTTTTTATCGTAAAAACATATCAAATAAAATTTGAAAGCTATGCTATCAATATTTATCAATGTCGTAGATATTGCATAAGTAGTGAGTTAATGCTACGTCTAGCAGTCAAAATTCAACTGTTTATTTCTCTGCCAAAAAAAATTTTAGATTAATTTATCGAAATCTTTAGATTAATTTAGATTAATTCAACTGAGTTAATGTAAATGTTGGAATATAGGTAAGATAAAGTGGATCCAAACCAAGTAGATCCACATGGACATATTTTACTCCTAATTAGGATTGTGCTAGAATTTTGTTCTTAATTATAGAATTGTGATATGTGTATATATATATATATGGCATATATACTTGTAAAAAAAAAATGTAAGAAACTTGACAGATCCGTTCGCATTAAAAACTAAAACTTTTTTTCTATCAAATTATAGTTATTTGAGACACCTATTGTTGTTGTTGTTATTATTATTATTATTGTAGTGGTACAGTAAAAAAGAGAAATTGTCAAAGTATTATAAAATTTTGAGATATAGTTTAGTATTGTTATTAAGATTGAAAAATTTTTGAGTTGAAAAAAGTGAGTTTAAAAAGTATTATAAAAAAGTGTGGTTAAAAATTTTAACTGTTTGGTATTATTATAAAAAAAATGCAGCGAATAATGGAAATCTCTAAAAGGATGTGCATAAAAGATTACAAATACAAAGATAATATCATGAATTTTTATTCCAAACATATATTTTCACTACAAAAAGAATTTTTTTTATTTGAGTTGACAAATCAGGTTTTTAAATTAAAAAATTATATTTTCTATGTTTTTTAACATTAAAATTCCGTCAAAAGTAGTTATTGAATGCAAATATAACTTTAAGCTAAACTAAGCCTTCATATTGGCCACTGGCTAATACAAATAGTTAGCTAGGGTTTCTCAAAATTTGGAAAATAAAAAAAAAATTTTTGAAAGGAAATTTTGTCTTGAACACCTCAAAATTTTTTTCTTAAACAGCTCTAAAATATTTCTCGGAACGGATTTTTTTCATTCTTTAATCACTAGTCCATTAACTGTCATTATCCAATATCTAATCATATCCTATAACCAATTAAGATCTAGCATCCAACAAACATCAACTGCAATAGTAGACACCCTAAAAATTTTGAATCACCAATGATAGTGGCTGAAATTAAAGAAGGTTTCTCCATCAAACAAGGTTATCATAAGCTCCATTCAATAAAGGCAATAATCGGTAGGTTATGAAAGTCAGTTAAAGTAGACTGGTTTGTTTCTAGGCATTTGCAGGTACAAAAAGAAAGTCATGCAGATTTACAATCTGATCAATCTACTGCTCGTGCAAATATGAATATATTCGCGAATTATACTGCTACCTATGAGAAGAAAAAGAAAGGCATTATCTTTGCCTTTGTGCTTCCATTAGCTTTACTGCTGCATTTGGGAAAAGGTCAGATTTGAAAAAATTGAGTTTGAAAAGTGTTGTAAAAAAATTATTTTGAAAAATTATAATTTAAAATTTTTGAGTTTTTAGTATTATTGTGAAAATTTATTAAGAAAAATTAAAATGTCCAAAAAGAATGTAATGTTGGAAAAGAAAAATAGATTATTTTGTCAAAAATAAATAATTGAGTCAGTATTTGATATTTTGGTTTCAAATCGCAATTAGACTTCCAATTAACTTTTACAATTAATTCAATTTTAGCAGTCACAAATACTTTTAATACAAATGATATTGTGTTTAGCATTATTTTTAGGTTTAAAAGCTGCGTTTTTTAATCCAAAGGCAATGCTAAATGAGGTATAAGTTGAAATACGATTAAAAAGGTGATTACCCTGAAAAGCTGAAAGGTTGTGTTATCGCTCTCTCCTCTGGGATCTGCCATGGATCCCTTGAACCTCTACTAGCGTCCTGAAAATATACCACAATAAATAACCGTTGAGATTATGTATCAAAGGGAAAAAAATTTTAAAAATTAGTTACGTCACAAATAAAGAACAAAACAATTTTAACATGATCTAGCCGTGATGTTTCCGCAAAATCTTCGAATCCATTTTTTTTTTCTCCTCCAGCCATTTCCTGACCGGAGACAAACTAGAGAAACGACGTACTGTATTGGCTTGAAAGGAAATGGAATGACGAAAAACAGGTTCAATGCGGTTTGAATCATTGCTGGGGTTAGGAGCATAGCCACCATAGTCATGACCAGAGCGCCAAGTCGGCCAAAACGGTGTGTTGTTGTTGCCTCTGCTCATAATGCTTCCAGATGATCAGAGGAACTTGAATTCTTTAATATAATTATTGCAGTGGCTTCTTGGCAGTGATTTTATAGCATTTATTCATTTCCTGCTTAAAGGACGTTCATCTAATGAATATATCCTTCTTATCGTTGTAATGGTTGCTTTTGCTGCTTTGCATATTTTTCTTCGAATATGATGTAAAGAATGATTCTTCCTCCATTTTTCAGATGCTTACCCGCTGCTGATCTTAAGATTGGAGAAAGATTCAGCCTTTATTAAGAAAGGAATCCAATTCCAGTACACACTATTTTTTTTTTCCTTGTATAAGTCATTAATTCTTTAATTAATCAATATTATATTTATAAATCATAATTATCATTCGACAAAACAGTACCATCCCAATTATTAAGAAAGGTGAATGAGATTTGACCAACTTAACTTCTCAATACAATTATTATTTCTTCGTAGTTTAATTTCGATAATATATTATTGTCTACTTATATTGTTTAGTCATATTAAGTCTCAATTTGAATAAATTTTAGATTGATGAGATATATTCTTGAACACTCAAGGTGATAAATCTTATATTAACTATTTATGTATTTTCATATGTCTTATATTATAATGAAGCATTTGTGATTAAAATCATTAGTAAAATTAGAATATAATATTACTCATATAAAATTATTAGTAATTTCAAGTCAAAGTATCACTTATACATCTACCACATGAGAATGTTATTATAGACATTGAGTGATTTATCAAATGATATTCTCATATTGAATCATATTTAGTAAATTTGTTGTTATAAGAATCACCCACATTTTAGTTCAAACTTATTCAAACTTCAACTTATAAAATTGATTGCTTGTTTCATAAACCAAAATATAACCAAGTGTCAATATTAACAATTTTATTGATGTCCTATCTTAATAATGTATTGATTAAGAACAATTTATAAATAATATTTTTTATGTAATAATGATTTCATAATTATAACTTATTGCAATTCCTTTACAAATCATATTTATTTCATTGACTTTATTTAATAAGTAATATTATATATGTATACAACCTTGTAAATAAAGAATACCTTAATTAATTTTGATAATTCCTAATATAATATGTATCACATAACCAATTCATTAGGTAATATTTGGTATGGAGTGATTACTGTCTTTGGTATGTACTGTACGATTTTACGTGATAGTGATCTTAGATCAACCAGAGTAATAATATTTTTAGCCTTTAAGGGTCATCTAATTCTCACACAAAATGATAAGAAAGTTTTATCACCAAAGTAAAGTAATATGTAAAATTAACAATAGTCAATATAACCTAATTAATATGTAAATAAAAAACTTACTTCTTCTGTTGTAATTATTTTATATTAAAAATTTTATATTTTCAAACTAATATTCATTGTAACAAATTCAAAAATAATTGTTGTGTTTTCTTTTAATATTTTATATATAATATAATTTTTTATTTTTCTTTTTATTATGAATTTAATAGATTAATTTTATTTTTAATTCAAATATTTTTACATAATTTATATTATAAAAATTAATTTACCCATCAATAAATATATTTGTTAATTTAATAATTTTATTATATTTATTATAAAATAAATAAAATATTACTAATATTTTACAAATTATTATTTTTAAACAACATTAAAATTATTAACTTGTGCAACTATTACAATATGCATGGTTAATGTTTTTGTATTTTTTAACAAAATAATGTTTAATTTTTAATAACACCAAAAATAATGATCTTTAGTTTCTAAAAATTAATAATTATTAACTAAATAAAATAATTTCAAATCACGAATAAAATTAACTTGGTAATAAGATCATTTTGATAATTACATTACCATGATAATCTTACAAAAAATATAAAATGCTATCTTCATATATACACCAACATCATATCCTAATTGTGTCACCGGTCATATCCTACCATATTTATTTCATTAACTTTATCTAATAAGTAATATTACATATGTATATAACCTTGTAAATAAAGAATACCTTAATTAATTATGATAATTCTTAATATAATATGTATCACAAAAATAATCCATTAGGTAATATTTGGTATAGGGTGATCACTTTAAAAATAATGGTGATTAGATCACTGTATTCTGTATATACTATATGATTTTACATGTTGATGATTTTGGATCAACCAGAGCAATCAAACTTGTAGTTTTTTAGGGTGATCTAATTCTCACACAAAATGATAGAAAAATGAGGTAAAGCAATATGTAAAATTAACAATAGTCAATATTTCCCTTTTCATATGTGAATCAAAAACTTGCATCCTCTGTTGTAATTATTTTATATTAAAAAATTTATATTTTCAAACTAATATTCATTATAATAAATTCAAAAATAATTTTTGTGTTTTCTTTTTTTTAATATTTTACATATAATATAATTTTTTTTGTTTTCCTTTTATTATGAATTTAATAGATTAATTTTATTTTTAATTCAAATAATTTTACATAATTTATATTATAAAAATTAATTTACCTATCAATAAATATATTTGTTAATTTAATAATTTAATTATATTTTATTATAAAATAAATAAAATATTACTAATATTTTACTAATTATTATTTTGAAACAACATCAAAATTACTAACTTGTGCAACTATTATAATATGCATGATTAATTTTTTATATTTTTAACAACATAATGTTTAATTTTTATAATACCAAAAATAATGATCTCTAGTTTTTAAGAATTAATAATTGTTAATTAAATAAAATAATTTCAAATCACAAATAAAATTAACCTAATAATAAGATTACTTTGATGATTATATTACTATAATAATCTTACAAAAGATATTAAATGCAATCTTAATGTATACACCAATATCATATCCGAATTGTGCCACTAGTTTTGTGCTGTGTTAGAAAATTCTTGATGTAACCTGCACTTTAGTACTTGTTCTTGTAGAAAAGTAACGAAAAAGAAGAAAGGAACACCTGCAAACATTATGCGAACAGCTTGATTCCGTTGTTCTCTTTATTTATTTTTATTTTCAAAATTAATGGCTGCATTATAGAAAATAGATGGTCATTAATTTCCTGCCCTCCATTTAAATCGAGGGAGATTCCTCCTAATACAAACTAGCATAAGGATTTTATTAACTGTTGCTTAAGCTGTCACCATGAATTGTTTAAATTTTGTTATGGAAGAATTTAATTGCGTAGAAAATCAATAGAAGAGGCAGGATTATTTGGGCAAGACATTCGGTTTTGATTCTAGTCCTCTGACCAACCAACACAAGTTGTTGATTTTTTTAGGTAAAGCTGTAGAGAATTCTTAAGAGATAAGTGTGAATCAAATTGTGAGGTTTACACTGTAGGGGCATTAATTGGTTATGTTCAATGTCCTCATGCATTCTCTTTCATCATCTATATCCATATATCTATGCTACTATAAAGTAAAAGAATCTAAAACGATTCAACTGTTGACAGTTATTTAAATTTGCTTTGAGATGGATGTTTATTGGGCCTTTGGCATTTGAGTTTGGATTTTATTTACTAAAAAGTTGTAATGAGGTCCAGTGTTATTCAATTGATCACCATTTTATGGAAAATGTTTTTTTGTCTAATTTTGTTGGTGTGGGTCAAAAAATTTTCAATAGAAATAAAGAATTTATCCACCATTTTTTTATGGGTGAGATATTTCAAAGGGTCCTACTTAGCTTATTCAAGTGAATGCATATTAACTTTATTAAAAGTAGTTCAACTGTTGTAGTAAGAAAAGTAATTTTAAAATAAAATTTTAAAGTGATAAAAATTTTATAAAATTCACCAAATTATTAGTGAATCTTAAGAAATTTTCAAAATTAGAATTAAATAAGTTCATAAATAAATTTTTAAGATTAATAGATTTTTATTAACGCTACCAACATATTAAAAAAATCTTTAAAATTTTCAATATGAAATTTAATTAAATTCATAAAGAATAAATAAAAATAAATGAAACAAATAAAATTAAAGTCATAAAATTTCATAAAAATGAAATATGGTAAATACTTAATAATAGATGAAAATATGCATAATTAAAATAAAAAATTATTTTACTCACAAAATCTCATGCATTCTTTTATACATGTCAATATAAAATACAAAAATAGAGATTAAAATTTCAAGGAATGAATTTCAAGAAAATATATTATGATATTAACTAAAAAATTAATTTCCTTAAATTTTATTTTGACGAAGCATTTTATAATGTTTTAATAAATTATTTGCAATAAATTTATTTTTTGGATAATTTATTTATAATAAAATTTGAATTTAATGAATTTTTAATTAAAATTAAATTAAAAATACTACAACAAAGTGTGGGACTCATTCTAATCTACACTACCTTGTATAAAAAAACCCCTTAAGGATCTCACAATGACACGTATATATATATTTTTTAACGTTTTACATTCACAGATGGCTGTTTTTTGTTTCAAAAGTTCACAGGTGGCTTCTATTTTCTTTTGTATTTGTCAGGAATTACACACTTGTCTTTCAAAGTTTCTTTGCAGCTTGGTTTGAAGAGTAAAATAGGGGTTTTCCCGTTGCCTTTCAGCAGAGAAAAATGGAACAAAAATGGCGATGGCGAGAGTACAATCTGGTATCTATAATGACCATGTCATCTATGACATAAAAATAATTACAAGGATGATTTTGGAAAGAGGAGATCCTGGGAAGGGGAAAGGGTTTGAGAAAATAAAATGAAAAGGAATTGAGAAAAAAAAGGTAGCGCAGAAGGAAAGAAATAAAGAACAATCTAAATAGGAGATCAAGATCACCTAAGGAAGTTTTGAGCGTGACGAAAGAAGATGGAGCCCTAAGCGCCATAGGGGTTCTTCATCCTCATTTAGACGAAGGAAGCATAGTCCTGCACCAGATCAAATGAGTCCACAAGAGAGAGATAGCCCTTCCCTAAGGGACCGCAAGAAGCCCGCAAGCCTGTCAAATCATTAAAGCGATTCAGGTTTACATGTAAGTCTTGGTGCTCCTTGATTCAAAGCCTGACTTTATTTCTACCCACAATTTTTTTAGCGAA